GGTGTAGAGGCGACGTGCTAAACTAAAAATCTGGCATAGAGGTGACGTGCTAAACTCAAAATCTGGTGTAGAGGCGACGTGCTAAACTAAAAATCTGGCATAGAGGTGACGTGCTAAACTCAAAATCTGGCATAGAGGCGACGTGCTAAACTAAAAATCTGGTGTAGAGGCGACGTGCTAAACTAAAAATCTGGCGTAGAGGCGACGTGCTAAACTAAAAATCTGGCGTAGAGGTGAAGTGCTAAACTATAAATCCGGTGTAGAAGAAGAAGACTCAACATTTTTACTTATATCACATGTATTTTTGGTTATGAGCCTATAAATAACATAGAAGTTACGACGACATTAACATTCTGTGGTCAAGAAACATAACGCCACCAAAAGCATCTCTAAGTAAAATAAGTAGTTAAAATAAATTCACTGAATGTCGTTTCTAGACAATGTTTAAAATCTATTCAACTTGTACTTTAAGAAAGAACTGCTGCTGCCATATTGTTTAAGATTTTGTACTCAGACTTACGTTATTAGAATCTGTCGTTTTTACTGTCGTTATTAGCTCACAGTAACTCACGGATTTCATGAAACACACTATAGTATTTTTTGCGTATACTTAGACATTGTTTCGTAGCTAGCTTATCCAATATTAAATCTCAAATTAATTAATTAATTAACTGCTGGTTAACAATAAATCCTAAGTTGTGACGAATAGATATTAGGAAATATTATCACAACGCATATAAAAATATAAAACATGGATATGATTTTTTATACACAGATATTACTTAGGATAAGGTGAGAGGACGCAATGGTAAATATATAAAACAAAAGAGGCTTACTTAACAACCTAAATATGAATTAAAATAAAAACAAACCTTCGTACAAAATTAAAAGTTTTTGACGACTTTGCTGCTGCCCCCCAGTGGCACAGCGGCATGTCTGCGAACTTACCACTCCAGAATCCGGGTTTCGATAACCGTGGTGGGCAGAGCACAGATAGCCCATTGTGTATACTTGTGCTTAATAACAAACACACAAACAAAACTTTACTGCTGATTACTTATCACAAGAAATTTATATTTTTTAAAATTTGGATTAATAGTTGGAGAAATGCATTTAAGATAAGTAAAATATAGACAACTGATACGTATAGTTTGTACACACTGTAGTAAAGCTATGAGTGGGTAAGATATGATTTGTTTGAAGTTAAGCACAAAGCTACACAATGGACTATCTGTACTCTGCCCACCACGTGTATCGAAACCCGGTTTCTAGCATTGTAAGTCCGTAGACTTTTAAAGAAAGCCGTAATTTTAACTGTTAATCAAAACATTCATCTATTAACTGATGTGGAAAATCCGCATGAACTTACACAAGTGTCACGAAGCAAATCCTAATAAATATTTAATAATAATAAAAATACTATTTTTCTGTCTTTTTTTTTCTTAGATAAGTGTAGCTTTAGTACAAAATCAGGAGCAGGCATGGATGCACCATTACATGTAGTGTTTGGTGGCCTTAGCTGTTTATAAATTTGACGAACTTACTCTCTTTAAACATTCAAGACAGTGTTTGTCATGTTATTTGGTGACATTTTGAAGTCGTATGCTTTAAGCTAGTTGCTTGCTAGGTTTGACCTTACTGAAATTCTTGCTGCAAAAAGGTCAACCTTCAAACTGACCTGTGAATTTCATCGTGTACAGTTTATGTTGCTATTTGAACACTTTGTACAACATTTGAACAATTAAAAAAAATAACGTTTTAATTATTCAACTTACAGGCTGTTGTTAGATAGCTTTGATTTTACAGTCCTCAAGCGTGGAGCGTTTATTAGACCTTAGGCTTCGGCTAATCTTAATTTGTAAATAGGGCCTAAACGAATAACTTATCCTAATCACTAAACTCTATCTTCGGTCCAATTCTCTTTTTCTGATTAACTGTTTCCTGACTTTTTTTTTAGTGGGTAGGGGTGGGGCAGTGATTTTTTAAAAATAAAATACGTTTGATTTAGATAAGGTGTTCTTATTTTGTGCGAAAGCTCAACGATAACATAAATAAATGATAAATGTGTTACAATGAAAGAATGTTTCTTCAAATGTGGAAATAAGGACTCACTTCTTTCTTGTGCTGGTATTCACATATTTAATACCATTATAAAATATAGTAAACTTAGAGGAGACAATTTACATTTAATGCTGGAGGACGAGCTTAAAAACACATCAATTTCAGATACATTGTCACAGAAATTGTGTATCGTCATATATATGTCAACAGCACACATAAGCATTAAAAAAGAAGGCAAAAAACAAGTTCGTTCTTCTAGTGAGTCCCCAACCTTTAACGATCTCGTAGATCTGAAAGTCTATCATTTTCCTTCAGACAGCTTTGTTTTTTTTTTGTGGCGAATCATGTCAAATTGAACTCAACGAAAAGAATCCAGCCCGCTGACGCCAGGCTAGCCATTGTCGAACAGCCAACAGTGGCGAGTCTTGCACCTTTAAGGATTACATTTTGGACATATGTACTAAACGTCGACATGAATGGGCAGCTAGTGTTCAGATAAGTTTGCAGGCCGTAGTGACCGATTTACATGCAGCAGACGCAAAGTACCACAGAATGTGTAATACGTGTTTCATTGCACCACGCTCACTCACAGGAGCAGTGATTTAGGTATTTTAAACAGAATCGAACCAAGCTTGTCAGGATATAGCATTTGATAAAGTTGTAAATATATTGCAAAATGACATAAGTCTTGCATATGTACATCTTGGAGCTATACAACCTTTATGTTGTACATGGTGAAACTCTTATTGTTGTGTCGGAAGATTCTTGTTGAAAAACTTGTTGATCATTTTTAAAATGAACTGTTAGTATTGTCACCACTGGGGTTAGCAAATATTGTGATATTTTTCAAACGCATTTAAAACTTTGTCAGAATTGCGGAAGATGATGATGATGATTTCTCAAAAGGTTCAAGACGTAGCTAAACAAATAGTGAAAGAATTCAAGCATTTGACATCACAATCCAGTGTCTACAAAACAGGAATTAGCAAGGCCATTGTGTACAAAACAGGAATTAGCAAGGCCAATGTGTGCAAAACAGGAATTAGCAAGGCCATTGTCGTGAAGGATTCTAGCTCTAGTTTATTTGCTTTACTTTGACAGATGTTGGAGAAGTTTGATTCGTATCTGCCTGTGTTTCTTATTACCAACATGATCACAAGCACTGTAACACATCAGCCTACAGCTCAACAGATTGCTCATGGTATTCTAGTAAAGTACAAGTCTCTTATTGGAGCACTTTATGATTTTGGTATGACTTGTTTGTATGATGAATCCTCTCGCTAAATCAAAATGATATGAAACGATGGGCACTCAGCTTGTACCTATGAAGCTCCTTCGTCAAGGACTTCTGGAAATAAGAGATGGAAATGCTCATAAGGAGGAAATGCGGGCACGCATTGCATCTAGCAATAATGACAGAGAAAAAGTTGCACAACGCTGCAAGCACGCGTTCATCTTCTTCAATCAGAGGATCATCCTGCTGGACTGATAAACATTGTCACTGGACGAATAAGTCCTGATGAAATGAATGTTTTTCCAGGTGGTTGCAATTGGCAAGCAGCATATGACCGAGTACAAAGGAGGCTTACCTGTAGGTTTCATTGAACCTTTGAAAACTAAAACAGTGGAAATGACAACAGGTCGAAAAAGTGCCAAGATTGGTTCTGGAACAACTTGTGACATCGAGCTCATATACGCCAGTATAATGAACTTGGCAGATTCATGTAATATTGAAGCTGAACATCTTTTTTAGTTATAAGTGTGCATCTGCCCCAACATCAATGTCTGACGACAATGGGCAAATGAAAATCACCAAAATAAGTCAACCCTGAAGAAACAAACTACAGGCTGGACAGTCAATTTACACTGTGCTTTTATCA